AAAAAAAAAAAAAGACATGGTTTTACATAACTACCTCAATCGATCCCTTCCATACTGCTGCAGTGTTTCCAAAAGCAGACACAGGAAGGAGACACCTGGGGTCGTGGGAGTCTTGTGTCACCGGAGTGGTGGACACAGATTTGTTCTGTTTTGCTGCACAGAGCACAGAAGTACTTTTCATATATGTGGGAACTTTGCGGTCACATTTGAAAAAGAAAAGGAGAGTTGTGTTTTATGTGTTTTAATAGGGGCGATGACAGATGAGTATTGCTTGAATGTATTGATCATATTAATCTGGGCCCGCCGCATCCACTCTGCAGCCCACTACACATGTTCTGTTTACTGGATCACTGATTTTCCAGCTCTGGAGCTGTTCATTAGGGGCACATTTGCCTTTAAAGCTGCTCCTTTATTCACAGGAGATTCAGCAACGATTGGATACCAGGTTGTTTTTTTTTATTATTTTGATATGTCACATTTGTTTTCTTTCTCTGACATATCTTCAGTTCACATCAATTCTTATTTAGATCTAAATTGATGAAGTCAAATGTGTGTCTTGTCACTCGTCTTATGGAGGGAGAGGATTTATACAGACAAAGCAATTGTAGGATAAATGATAGGTAGAAGATTGCAATATGCTGGGACTGGCAACTGTGTCCTGTGTCGAATCTTATTTGTAAAATTTACTAAGAAAAACATACATTAAAAACACAGAGCTGTTTTAAACACTGCTTCTTTAAACACTAGAGGGAGACATTTCATTATTGCATGTACAGAGCAGCTGTACATTCAGTCCAATACATGTCTTCAGGACAAGTCAAGGCATTCTCGGATAATGTTTCTTTGAAGGATGACAAACTTTTTAAAGGTTGCTGGTCCAACTATATTCAGCTGTATCAATAAATATAGACTTTTGACAAGTGTAACCTCCTTTAAATACCAAAGAAATGGACAAATTAAAATAACTGATACAGTAATACTTAGAATAAAGAGAAGACATCAGTCTGTTTGGTCCTACATTGCACTGGCTCCCAGGGATGTCCATTGTGTCAGGTGTGTAACAGCAGTGTTTCCACCAATCAAAACACTTTTCCTGTTGAACCTGGTCATTACAAACGTCCCTGCCCGTCAGCAGGAGAGCATGTCAGCAAAATCAACCCAGCCGTTTGAGTCTCTGGCCGCAGACACAGTATTGATAGATGAGTGAAGGAGACTCTTGATGCTGTCGCTGGGCTGGAAATAAATAGTGAGCCGCACTGCAACAGGGGGTCGGATGGGTCACCGCAGTTACCTGCGAGGGATCTGGCACCTGAAGCGCACAGGAAAGAATAATGCATCTTTAATGCTGTTTAAATGAAAGCTGGTGGCTATGTGAACGTTTTCTCCCACGAATGTGCAATTACCTGTCACATTCTTTTGATTTTTGTCTCTCCTTTCTCTTCCTTTCTCTCGTCCTTTGCCTTTTCCTGCACAAAGAGCAAAAATTACCAACGAGCCTTTATTCTCTGAGCGGGAAATATTTATTCTTTTCAACAATCTCAGAACTGATAGTATAAGAGGACGCTCTTACCTTTCAACCTTCACCACTGGTTTCCTGATTCTGAGGAGAAAGAGTTCAATAAATTAGAAAAAAGGTGCAACATTAATGAAGACGCATTCTAAGTTTTGGCCAAACCAGTCTCCTAGAAGTTTATATGCTGCTAATTTTGGAAACCTGATCGCTGGATGATGCTCACTTGCTGTATGTTTGTTAGTGAAGGAATTTTAGAAAACACTGAGCTAAATGTGAAACACTTCAGGTTTTAGGTCAATGTTGACTTTTTCAATATCAGACCGAGATAACAGTCTTCCCCCAACTTCCCTAAAATTAATCTTGCTTCAGTTGCTGTGAGCGGATGTTGTATCGTCAGCGCAGTTATTATAGGAAAACAAATATGTTGTCGGTGAACTTCTAACTGATAAATTCGCTTTATAAATATAGAAACATAAATTCTACGAGACAGGGTTTGTAATTGCATACTTATCAATATTTTGTGTTAAAAAAAACTCTGACTCGTTTTCTTACCTACATTCACATGTCTGATGCTCCACAAACGTCATCTCAACATATTCTTGACCTGGCTCTGATGGCCTGATTTTCAACAGCTGGAGGATGAAATCAGTTAAAATGAACAACAGAAGCAGTGCACACAGCAAGGGATTACGCAGACGTTTGGCCGTCCCCCGTCTTACCTGCATGGTGACGTTGGTGGTGTGGGTGGGATGGCACTCCAGGTTCTCGTCCCCGCAGCAGCCAGCACACCTGACCAGGGGCACGCAGGAGGGGCTGTAGATGTGCTCCACCTCCGTTGGGTACTCCTGCACCACCTCCACCAGCTTCTCAATGGTCCGGCAGAAACTGCGACCCCACACTTCTTGAAACATCAACACTGTGAACGAAAGGAGGGGGCCGAGAGTTTGAAGGTGTAAACCAGCCAGCATGTTTCTAATGAGGAGTTTTTTAGAGAGCAGTGTAGGTGATCCAGAGGTGAATTTCTTTCCCAAAACACCCCTGGAGCAGATTTAAAAACTTCCTTGCATATGTAAAGCTGTTGATGGCACTCAACTGGACATGCTAGAAATATAAGCCGTCACTGGCATTCGGAAACCTAAAGCTGACCACGATACACCAGAGTGTATCCTGTTTTCATTTTGAAGAAGAAATGTTTGTATAATGTACAGTACGCTTTCCTGTGGGAGTACATGTGTGAAAGTGTCCCAGTTGCAGAGGGGGACCGTTGGGGGAGGAACAGAGACGACTATGGCCAAACACAGAAGGAAGAGAAAACAAACACTGGAAACATGGCCATGAACAGAACCCTGCTGGAGCTGGAACCGAGTTGCCCCGCAGGCACCTCTGGGACTGCGGTGACCCCCGGGGGTCACCAAATGGAGCCTGACACCACAACAGCTGTTTATAAAAGCAGACAGGCTGGGAGGAGACGGCTGGGGAAGCATCTACGGGCAGGGAGAGGAGGCCGTGAACTATAATGTTGTACAGGGACAGTTCACTGGCCAGTTACTGCTCCTCGACTTGATTGTGTGTCTTCTGCTTATCTGGCCTTTTCTGTTACACGTCCTCCTAATCCTCTCCGGCTGCAAGTTCTACATGTCTTCAGCAGCATTCGATTTGTTTCTCCTTTAATTTATAGTGATGCGAGGGAGGAAGTGGATATGAGGGGAGAAGGTCAGCGGTTGAGTAATCCCTGTTAGTCCGGGCATGCCCCGCTATTCTGCACATTCAGATCAAATTCACTGAACAGCATGAGATTCAAGAGCTTACTCATTTATGTTGCTCAACAGTGCATGACAGTAAACAATTCGAAGGAATACGATTCTGTTAAAAGGGATTTTGTCAGGAGTGGCATCCATCAGACCCTAGTTTCTAAAATGTAGTGCAGCAAAACATCTTGAGATTGTTTTGTTGAGTAAATCCACAGAAAATGAACAAAGTGTTTCCTGCACTGACAGAAGATTTGTCAAATAGAACAAGCAGAAGTTCTTACCTTCCATTGTGCCATTTATGCTTGACAAGGGCAGAGTCTGAAAAAGAGACAAACGGCGGCAACATTATTATTCATTCCTTTGTTTTTTTGCTGTGACTACATGCAAAAGAGACGTTTTCACTGTATTCAGTTAAATGTAAAAGTGTAAGACTGAAACAGGTAATTGCAAAAAAACCCAACATGTAGGCAGAACAATATAATCACATCTTTTACCCCTTGAACCCCAAAGTCTGCTGGTTCGTTTGAAAGGCATGTTGTCTTTCAAAATCGCCAAAATGATATCATTTATGGAACCAAAACTGTATTTAAAAAACAGAAAACGTGTGTAGCTCCATCAGGAAAAATAATCAAATGCAAGCTTAAAATCATGATAATCAAAATTACTTTATTCTGCATGTCAATCTTTTACCAGATTCTGGAAAATAACAACAAAAAAAGTTCTTCTCAGCACAACTGTGAAGCTTTTTGGCTGAACTGCAGGCTGTGCAGAGCCGATAGGAGGCATGCATGGAAACAAATAAAAATATAAGTAGGGAAAGAGTTATCATATGTTTACCCAGTATCAATAACACCTACTCATCTAACACCACTTGTACATATTGATTCCATTTTTTTTCTTGCAGTATAAATAATCAAAGAAATTAAACATTTGTATTTTATTTTTTCTATTTTACGATTTATGGCATTATAACTTATACCCTCACGTTAGACATCTTTTAGTTCTCTCTACTTCTAGCCATGTCCGTGCTGTTTCCATAGAGATGAAGGACTTTATATTGCGGCAGAAAATGAGCCCGCAGTGAGCAACAGGAGCAATAAAAACTGCTCCGGGTTCAGAGGGTTAATCGTGTAATTTATGTCCCCTGGTGGCGATGAGGGGGAACTACAGCGACATTAAGCGGACAATCGTACATTTTTACCACCCTGCGGTGAAGACAGCCTTTTGACAAGCAGCAGATCCAGTCCCTCGCATCTATCCTCTGTGTGCCCAGCTGTTTAGTTTCAAAACCTGTTTCCTGTGGTGTCATACTCGGCTCTCTATTTGTTTTCACATTGATGGCTTCCCCCTCCGTCTTGATTTTTTCCCATCATCCCATGATAAACAGAGTGAATTTCTCATTCGCCTGGGAAAACACAAAACCTCTGGTTGACTCCGTCTCAGGAAGGGAAATCTATGTTTGATAAAATACCCTCCGGCAGAAGCGCAGGACGGGCGGCAGACAACCTGCTTCCGCTATCTCGCCCCATCACCAGTGTTGGATTTCAGTTTTTCCTGTGACACATACCTGATCAGATTTATGGCGTGACGCTGTCTGTGTACACACTGATAGTGAGATAAGCCACGTTGGAACGAAAAAACTGTTACGTAATGGCAAACAGACTGACAAGGCCGTTCTCGAATGATGGCGGAAAAGACAACTGGTTTTTACACCATCTGTCCGTTGCTAAAATGCATCCTTTTCCTGTTATGAACCAAAATTAGTTTGAGGATGAGGATAGCATCTGCTACACTCAGCCATTTTTTTTCTCCCCCCTCTCCAAAGTATGCGATTTAAGAGGAATGTCCTGATTTAATGATGATGAAGCATTCAAGCTCACACAAACATTTCAGGGGTTCCTGTAAAGCCGGGACAAGTGTCAGGCAGGTCTTTGTATTTGGGACTGATCCGTCTTCTCTGCTGCGCTGTATGACAGACTTCATGGAAATCATAAATACACATGAGCCTCCACTTCAGATTCAGTCCTCCCTGCGTGAGGAACTGTTGAGGCATCGCCCTCTTTTTTTCAAAGCGGCCGATCATCTGGCCAAAACGTACAGCTGTTGCTCTGACAGCAGACCCGTTCTATAGAGTGGCGTTCACTGAACTGTGTCGGCTGCACAAAACCGCAGCAGGATATAAGCTCCACTTGCAGAATATTCTTTAAGCACAGCATGGGAAAGTCACAGTTCAGTTTAAGTTATTGTTAAAAGTCACTTCCACTCTCTGGGGCATTGATTATTTTTTATCCTCTATAGCAATGCCAGAATGATAAAATAAATCCTTTTCCAGTGTTAATTGGCATAAGATCTGCTCGCTCTCTGCTCGTCCGCGGGCGTTGATGTGGTTGTGCCGCTCCACATCACAAGGGCTTTTTGGCTCCGCTCTCACATGCTGTTCAGAATTTTGTGAGGTGGGGAGGATTTTCTGACCTTGGTCATGGGTTAAGACTTGACATGACGAAAAGAAAGCCCACGAGAAGCTGCCAGATTATAAAGGCCTGCATGAGGATCCTCACGTAGCCATTCCCCCCCTTCCTCCTGCACTTACAGTATTTTGTGGTGTGATTAATGGTTACTGGAGGTAATGTGGCTCATGTGGAAAAGGGGAACCGCATTACATCAATAAACGTCTATAAAGTTGACTAATAAATCCCGAAAGCAGGATCACAGTCTGAAGTAGTCCTCCATGTTGCTTTCACTTCATTCCCTCGTGACCTTTTGTCAGGGAGTTTTTATTTGTCCTCGGTGAGGGTCCAATATTGCAATGTGTCACTTTCATTTATTGTTTTCATAATGTGGGTGTTTAAACCTTTCACACTAACTGTGATTAAGGGCTGCGCAAATAAGCGGGCCTTGACCAGGCCATAAATTCATCTGCTCCTGGTTAATAACAGAATACCTCTTCTCTGTTTCCTGTGCATCATAACTTTCACTTGTGCACACATCTGGGGTTTTTTTTTGTGCAAAAAAACCTGCTGGACATTTATCAGCCAAAAAGCAGCCTTTTTACTAACACACACAAAACAAGGAAAACACATCACCCGTGCTTCTGGTTTTTGAGTTTTGTGGGGCTTGATATCATGGCCAGTCACATACAGAAAGTAGATTAAACATCTGTTGTCCTGATGGAGACTAGAGTTCTGGATTTCAAGAAAATTTTAGTCTGAAATTTGGCAACATGCAAAAACTAGCAGCAAAATAAGAGGTTGGATGGGTTGCAACTGATTCAGTAACAAATGCAGAAAGAAAAAACACATTGCCCATGTTCACCTTAAATAATAACTGATTGGATTAACAATTGGGATTAAGATTAAGGATTAAAAAGGAAGAAACAAAGACCTGAAACTACCAAATTTGTGAGTTAATTTGTGAATAAACTAATGATTTCCTAAATGAAAAGCATCGAATAATCCGTATTTTTTACTTGTAAATTGGGAACATAATGGGCTGTAATGTTTCTCCTGACCTTTACCGTAGCTGTCCGTTAGCATTTTGTGTGTTTTATCTTTTTAGTTGGTGTGTCAGACAACTTGCGTAGAGAAGCCTTTCTCATTGCATAACAGGGTGGATATGTAACCCACCCTTCTCCGGTCTTTTCAGGTCTTAACATCTGGTTCTTTGAGACTTTGTGTAACGTAGCACTGTGCAGTTTGACCGGACTGGGTTGCAGAGTGAGGGGCAGCTAGCTGGAGCATGTGAGTGCAGATTAAAACATCTGCAGCAGCTGCAGCGGACATAAAACGATGGCATTTCCATGCGTTTGATGGCAAATCCACTCTAGAAAGCTCGTCTCCCGCTGGCTCAAAGTTTACGCTGCGCTCTGGGTCAGATCAGAGGACCTGTTGCGTCTCTGGGCTCCTGCCGTCAGGCCGCAGAGGCCCCAAGCCTCATTACTCTCTGGTCCCAAACAGCTGAACTGCGTCATCTTTAACCTCCTTGCTTATTCCATCTGTCAGAGGAAGGGCAGCGTGCGTAGGGAGCAAAAACTCAAACATGAAGCATAATGGTCAAAAGATTTTTCAACTCTTGAGGGTCAAGCGGGGGAGGAGGTGACGGGCAACTCAACAGCAGGTACCGTGGCCACTTGCCAAGAAAGAGCTGGACACCAGCCAGCACAGTCCACAGTGTAGTTTATGTAGAAGAAGAAGAAAAAGACGAGAAGACTAAAGAGACAAAGTCAAGTACTGCAAATCAAATGCAGAGATTTCTTTGCCATTTTAGGATAATTAGAAAGGACAACTTGACTTGGGTGGCTGAAATAGAAATGCAGAACTGGAATAAGTCATCTAGGTTTGTCTTCTCCAGCGGATTGCAAAACAATGACAGTAAGGGTGAGGCACGGCTTGTTTCCCAGCAATTTGAAATGCAAGCTGTCTGAAGAAATCCATAAATCATGATTCAACACTTTGATTTCAATCCAGGATATAAAAGCCTAAAATTTTAACTAATGACCAAGATCACCAACAAGGTTTTCATAAATATTGCAGAGATTTCTTGAGGGAGTTAGTCACTGATGCTGGGCGTATTGGACCGTACCTCTCATGGCTGACAATACAAAGTGCTTTAATTTATACTGTTCAAAATAGAGCCAAGGCACAGAAAGAAGTGAGTTTCATAACATGTTTGTATTTTCATCACTGTAATTTCTACTCATCAAAGTCAACAGCATCCTACAGTTACCGAGTTGATGCGTTTGAGCTGAAAAGCAGCAACACCCTGCGAGAGCTTTGCCATATTTGGTTGCAATGCTGAGTCAGTGACCTGCACAGAGAGAGGGAAGCAGTGGAGGGTTGTGTATTTTTCTTCAAATCTATATGAATAACAGTGAGACATTAAAACCACAAACATCTAATTATCAGTGGGAACACATGGCTGTAGTAGTCCTCCAACCAGGCATCTTAATCCACAACGCTTTCACATTAATCACTTCAGTCAAGTAGGGTCACTTGGCTGACTTAGTCTTGCAATATAAGGCATCAAGTAAAAGTGGACTGAGTTTGGGAAAGTCCCTGCTTTAGTCTCTGGCAAATAATAATCCAAGCTAGGCTGGAAATCATGCCATGAGTTCACGTAAACAGGCCACAGATGAGATGCGGGGTTGTGGTTTGATTATCCGACTCGATAGGCTGTTGCACTGACATTCTGAGAAAGCAAAGTTGGAATATTTCCCAGCCGTAATCCAGGCCATTGAAGCACCTGCATCTTCTAACTCATAGTAAACACAGAAGCCAGGCAGAGACGACTGTATCCTGGATTTAGTCTGACTGAAGTTTGAC